TTAAAAAAAAGATCGTAAAATATATATAGAATTAACGAAAATAAGATTATAACATCAATTTTTTTCATCAGACATGCATGATTTTTGGAATATCGAGATTTCTACGGACTCTTGAACTGCGAATCAAATTTCATAAAATTCGGACGACTCCATATATCATATAGATCTTATATCGTCGAAAATATAGAACATTATAAAAATAGAAAAGTTGTCGATGTAGTTTAGTCTTTATGTACTTGTTATGTACATATATAGATTTCTCGATCTTTCCCATGGCAACTATTATATATGATATAGTTGTCCAAATTTTATGAATTTTTTTTCATAATTCAAGGCACAGCGTGCAATAACTACACAACTTTTTGTATAGTTTCAGCAAGATAGCTTAAAAACTGAAAATCTGAGAACTGAGAAAGAGACGGACAGACGGACAGACAGACAGACGGACAGACGGACAGACGTACAGACGGATTTGGATTCTGATCGTGATGCTGATCAAGAATATATATACTTTATGGGGTCTGAGGTGTCTCCTTCACTGCGTTGCAAACTTCTGACTGAAATTAAAATACCCTTTTGCTCTGCAGGTGTATAAAACATATATAGAATTAATGGAAATAAATTGATAACGTCGTTATTTTTTATCCCACGAGCAATATTTTTAGAATATCGATTGTTTAACTCAAGGGTTGTCGTTATTAATTGAAAACAAATTTCATAAAAACAACTTATCATATAGCTGCCATAGGAAAAATCGAAAAATTTATATAGAATTAATGGAAAACAAACGATGACGTGGTTGTTCTTCATCAGAAAAGCATAATTTTTGGAATATAGTGTTTTTTTAATGACTCTTGAATTTCAGATTAAATTTCATATAAATCGGACGACTGTATCATATAGCTGTCTTATGAGCAATCGTCGAAAATATAGACTAATAATGAAAAATCGTCATTGCTTGGATGTTGATTAGCCTTTATGTATATTGTTTGACGTATTTGATGACTGCAGGGGGAAATAAACTTTAATTAAGGCAGTGGTCTGCTTTAGGAGCTGAAAAATAGCGTTTTTTCAACAATTTTTTTTAAAGGGAAGGAAATGATTGCGGTAAACGAAATTTTGAGACGATATAATATTATATTTAAACTTTAAAAAACAATTTTTATTATTGCAAATAATTGAAATTAGCGGAAGTTGTAACGATTTTTCTGGGGCGCCTGGAGTGTGCACTTGTTAATCGGTGCCGGTGATGGAGTTCGTGCGATGCATCTGAAACAGTGGAACCAAATTTTTTTTTACGTTTTATAAGTTCCTTTTCTATATGAACTAAAAAAATTCCGAAGAAATGACAAAATTCCAAATTTTTTCTAAGTTTGAAAAAAAAATCACCGGCACCGTTTTCCAAAACTTGTGAAAATAAAAACTCGAGAAAACGGGCTGTAAAGTCTGCCCGAGCATACGAACCTGCTCGACGCTCGGCCACTAAAACTGATCTAGCTTCGAAAATATGTAAAATTGGCCTCTAAAATTTTGAACACATATTCTTGGATAGTTTTGGAATAGATTTAAGACAAAAAAAAATCGATTTTTTGAAGTCTGTAAAGCAGACCACTGCCTTAAGTTCATGAGTACTTCTTGTGAGCGTGTATTTAGTGGAGGGCCATTCGCATTGATACTTATCTCTGAATTTCTCAGGAGGAAACAATAGTTGGAGGCAGTAGCTGTAAACGAACCGCCAGCAAAACACCAACTATTTCTTCAATTACTTATTTTGGGTTCTCAAATTAATTACACCCATTGTAGAGTGAAGTGAAAAGAGCTACCGAAAATTGACTAATTTAATTATTTGTCAGAACGATTTGTCGCTCTGCTCAATCAAAATGTTGAACGGTAATACATACTTTGGTTCTTAGTTGTTAAAACCTTTCGCTCTAACACTGGCCATGTGGCCCACAAATCACCACAAAACATGTTGACAGCACACGGCAGCTCACTGTGCCTCAGTTAGGCACCGACTCTTGAGAAAACCAGGGCAGGAAGCGAAAGGAGAACGATGTGGGAGGACTGTGCCAGTTCGCTGCTTATGCATTTCCCTAATGAAATGCAAAGAAAACAAAACAGGCTACAGCCCAACAATATTTCAGTCCTGTCCCAGGAGCACAAGCCATCCTTTCTGCGATAGGCAATGCAAATTTCAGGAGAGCTCTTGTCGGATATTGTTGATGTTGCCGTTGTGGCTGAGTGATAATTAAATATTTGTTCTCTCCTGGGGCTATTTGCTTTGATTAATAGCTAACAAAAAAGAAAAGGGCGGCCGGCCGAGATTCTCGTCAGCGGTCGTGTGCGGTTGATTGTTTTAACATGCTACAGTTTTCCAATTGTTTTCGCTTTTGTTTATGTTGTGCTGGCGATTTGATGGGTTTTGGACTCTAATCCAGTTACTTCAAGAACGACCCAATTTAATTTCGGTAATGTGTTTTGGATTTGAAAATTGGTGTGGTACATCAGACCAAGATTATGAGGACTTACGTCTGAGGAGATGTTATCTTTGCCGGACCCGTTCCACGGCCATGAGTCACTGCACCGCTAAAGCCTCAAAGCGGTGGTGTCCGTATCTCGCCACCCCGGGGTATCAACCGCATATTCACTTTGCATATTGACACGTCTCCTACTGAGCGATAGTAATTTATTATTTTCCATGCCGTGCGCCAAGGCGTCCGCCTGGCCAACCCAGCCAGAAGGCGTTGTGCTGGGAGACTTGCATGCAACGGGTCAGCGAGACACATTACCACATCATTACGGGACCGCTGGGACCAACTTGACCTCCAAAAAGCCCCGCAACTGCAGTGCCGGAAAAAGGAGGGAGTCCAGACAGCTTCCATTTGAAGTCTATTGCGTAATGCCGAAGAGCGAGCAAAATAGCACCGCAGCGGAAGTTCGCAGGGCACGGAGGTGCGTCGAGGGATTTCAGCTGCACCGTAGCGTCATTAAGTCAATTTGTAGCCAAAGTGGCAACTTAATGTGCGGCGGCCGAAGCCTCACATTGGACCTCCACATGGACACTCCAATTATCCAAAAATACCAACACACAAAAGCAAACTCGCAGGAGGAATTCGGGGTCTGGGGATGTGGCCGTCTCTGTTGCCGACCAAAAGGAGATTGCGCTTTTGCGGTTGTGTTAAGTTGATTTCCGGCACGTCTGCTCCAGACCCGAACCCCATACCATTAGCCCCCGATTCCACATAACTCGGCGTGGGGGCTTCCAAGATGTCCTACGCCAGTTATGCGTGCAGCTCCACTGCAGCCGTTTTCCGGCACTGCCGACGTTATATTCATAAACAGACGCTGTCCCTGCTGTCAATGCCGTCGTCGTCCCACCCATCATCCTCATCACCACCATTGTCACGATGATGATCATCGTTTTCAGGCTCCCAGCCCTAGGTGTTGGCCACGCCCCCCTCGTTGCTGAGCCAAGCCTCAACGGGGGAGCACCCTTCCCCCTGAGGTGTGATGTAAATTATACGCTTTTGCGTTTAGCCTCCCCAACCTCGAAGTCTGGTCCAGCCCGAGTGTCTTTCCGCCTCCTGCTCGGCAGTTTGATGTTTTGCGGTTGTGTTGACGTTGTCCTAGGTTCAGAAATGGGCAGTCCTGTGAAGTGGCCATCCAGATGCCCGGCTTTAATATTTAAAGTGCGCTCTTAGCCCGGAGTTTGTCCGTTATGCCTCTGACATGTTATTGCCCTGCGCTCTGCGGTCCGAGCCAATTAATGGGATTTTGGCAGTGGGGGCTCCGAGCGTAGAGCATTGTTCGGGAAGACAAGTGGCTTGTCCTGGGGGAAAAAGGTGAAAGGCCCCCGAAGAATGATTAATCTAGCGGTTAAGAGGCTCGACGAGCAGGACTTCCTTGCTGCACCCTTCTGGGCAGTCGAGTATGAGTTTCATTCGTTTGTATAGGCCAGCTTTCAGTTCGATATTAGAGATTACCGTAATATTTAAGTAACTTGTTCTCAATTATTTATGTTCATAATCTGAGCTGGCGAAGATTAATTTTTGATTAGCTGCATTTTTGTCTTTCCAAAGTGTTGCCAACCCTTTCTTCCACCCCACAAAGTCGATGTTTTTGCTGCTGCCGGAGAAGCCACTGTGTCATTTGTTATGTTATTGGTTTCGACATTTTGCAAATTGCTTACTTAGCAGTGCGTAAAATCCACATAGTCCTTTGCCTGCTCATTCTGCTCGAGACCTGCGGTTCTCTTTTTGCGAAGACCACACACACGTGGAGCATCAGGATGCTCTGTTATTTCGTGCTCCTTCCTTTCCGCCTTTCCGCCTTCCTGCCTCCGTCCGTCTATAAGGATTTTTTGCCATCCTACGTTGTTGTAGACTCAAAGTTAACAACGTGTCAAGCGGTTAGCTCCGCTCTCCGCATCACTCCATTAGACCTACAACCATACATCCGTATCTCTGCCACTTGCCGCCTGCTGGAATGAGCCATTGAACGGGCCCAGAAGCCGAAGCAGGTGCGTTTTAATGTCGTCCATCCAGCTATTTGGTCAACTGCCTGAAAATTGTAAAATGGTGCAGTGCAACTTCGCTGTTCGCACCCACCTCAAATCTTCCCAATTCCCGTGTCGATTCTTTTCAACTCTCATCTGTCCCCAGAATAATATTTGGTTTTCATTCTGTGTCATTTGTTCCTGACCCTTGTTTTATGCGGCGCCTAATTGCCTGCTACACTCTGCAGCCCGTGTGGCAAAGGGGCTTCAGCTATTCGAGTGTGGCCACTGGCCATAAACTTTTAACGGCTAATATTTTCTGAGGCTTTTTAATTAGGCGAAATGGTCGTAAAAATTGATTTATTGCCCTTGATGGCAATTGCTTATTGGGGCTTACCAACGGAAAAGGGGCTATAAACCGGAATAACTTTCTAAGCTGTTCTATGGATTTCTGAATTGTACTCACACTGTCCGTCTAACTAATTCTGTTTTTGTCTCATTGCAGCTCCTGACCCAACGGCTACATCCTGTAAGGTATTAAAATAGTTTGCATAAATCAAGTCTGTACTGTGTGCCATAAAAGACAACCCTGAAGCGTATCGTATTATCTATCATTAAGATGTATGAAATAGTTTTAATATCAAAATGTTCAACAAGCACGGCAAATAAAATAACAAGTTCTCGAGCTTTAAGATTAACATTGTACCAACAAATTAATTCCCTTCTCATTGGGTTCTGCTCTAGTAGGCCGGCCGTCTGCCCGGCTCCACAGCTCCACAGCTCTCAGTGAGTGCAAGGTCGGGAAAGTTCGACTGGCTTGGCCACTAAACGGTTCAACTTTATGCAAATTGAGGAGCTCCCTGGAGTCTTCAACCGAAAAGCGATTAAACGTCATTAGCATTATAGTAGCATTCTACTTTCGCGACCCTACTGCTCACCAGCCCCGGCTCACCTTTCCGCTCGTCCAGAGCCTTGCCCTTGCTGTCTGCCCAAGTGTCTGGATGGATGGGTAGCCATTCATCTTCGAAGTAGAAACAACAGCGCCATCGCGAAATGATTACAGTCCCGTTTTAATTGTAATTAAAGCGATTATTACGGCGGTGTACTGTATCTTTTTTGCGTTCCTCCATTCCGGCTTCCGGCTGCCGGCTCTCCTCCTGTCTCCTAAGCCCTGCGCTTAATCTTTGCTGCTTGGGACGGGCTGCTTGTTTTCAATTTAAAAATCCCGACAACTTTTTCTATTCTCCCGCACGGCTCCTGCCAGCGGGCCTAGGGGCTTTTGGTGCAACTGAGATGAGCCCGGAACTGTTTCGTGTTGCATGGAGAAGTTTTCGTGCTTGTTTTTCGGATAAGCACGGGGCGGAAAGGTCGTTCTGTGCCTGATGAGCACCTTGCCGCTGGAGCTGGCCAAAAAAGTTGCTGTGGTTAGTTGTGTTACGCCTTCTAGCTGCTTTCGCATGACCCGTATATACTCGGCGTACTGAGAACGGTAAGTTACCGACATAGCCCTTATGAATTTGAAATTGATTCCGCATCTTATAGGCCTTGGTAGTTTACTGCCCCGCGCGACTAATAATTTCGAGGTTCTGGAGTCGGTAACCTCGTTTTCCGCCAAACTCGCTAAACTTATTTAACGGTTGCCTTTATGGGTTCTGCTACTCCACTTCTGAAAGTCCCTATAAACGAAAAGTAAATGCTGCTGCAGTAGGAGCTGCAGGAGCAACTGCGAGCCAAAACAGCACTTGGGCGGTGTAATTTTTATTACGATATTTCCCAACAGAGCTAAGTAGCAAAACTCACTTCGCATAATTACGGACGGAGTAGGGGCTGGGGAAGGACTTGCTGAAAAAGTGTAATTAGTGGTGTGAAATTAGTGTTATCCCTGGGCAGACGAACTGAGGAGCGTACGGATCAAAGGGCGGGGGCAGCTCGAAAGTGAAATGAAACACACTCTGATAGTTTTTTAATGTGTGCGCGTGTCTGTTGATGCACGAATGCCACGCGCAGATGCCCCACCACCTATGTACAAAAAGTATACTTTATCGGTGCCACATCCCACTCTCCCACTCGCCACCTTTGGCGGGGTCGATGCCTTAGGCCAGGGGCGGGACCAAAGGGGTCCTTTTGGGCTTATAACTCCAAAAACAAGCGAGAACATATGCAAAAGGTGTTACATTTACAACTGCTGCTATTTATTTAGTATGAACTCACTCAACATGGCTGGGGCCACCCCTGTCCTGATCCACCTCAGGCTTTTGGAATGGCTTCAATCGCTTTTTGGGTCAACACCGTTTGCACCTGGTTGCGTTTGTGTAGAGCAGAGGAGCTTTTTTACGAACTGTTTAAATTCCAATTAGTGCTGATTGTTTCGATTTAACGGCTAACGAACGGTGCGTGTTGAACAGCGAGTTTTCCCAGCAATAAATGCCTTTTCGGCCGTGCTTTAAGGTTTCTTAAAACCGCACCAAAACGGTCAAATCGAAGGCATGCCCGAGCACAGGGCCTCTCACGAGTCGAGTATTATTTAAATCAATAATTAATGCACTTCACTTCACCCGGCGACAGAGCAGGATCCGTTCGCTTCCTGTTCTGGCTTTCGCTGTGCTGCGGTTGTTATTGTTATACCAGAGAAGGGATATGCACAGAGAAGGGATATACTGTGTTGTACTGGTGTAAGGGCATCCGCCGGAAAGGGAATTGCTTTCGACAATGTCTTCATTTGCTGCCAGAACAAACGAAACGCCATCTTTTCCGACATTTTTCTCTCTTCAGAGGAGTGAAAAGTAAAATTAGCCTTGGCCATAAGTGCGCGTCTGCTATCGATTCAAAAAAGCATCAATAATTTAGAGCGTGCGTTTGCGTTTGCTCCCAACAAAAAAGCACGATTGTTAATGGGTATCCCAAAGTCGGGAGGGGGGGTTGTTTACTCTTTCCGGTTTTTAGTTTCGTCTTTCGTATTTTTGTTGTTGTTGCATGTGTCAACGCCCATGTCCAATGCAGAAGCTTCGTCTGGGGGACCTTTTGGCGGCTCTTGCGCTTCCACGACTATAATGTGCAAGCACACAGACGGCCGCCTGCCAGCCGGAGCCCATTCCGGGTCCGACCCCATCCCTGACCCTCCACTTGCCCATCCGTTATCCCCTCGACATCAGATATCGCACGGTCCCGATGCAGGCAAGCCTGTGCCGGCGAGCCTGTGGCTCCTTCAACGTTTCTCCCAACGTATGAATGCCTGTTAAATATTTATGAGTATCGAAATGTTGCCTCAATGCATATTATAACAAATGAAACGTCAATTCCATGTGAAAAATGCAAACAGAATTGACATCGCAGGGATGGCTGCTGTACGCCAGCACCGCCAGCCGGAAGAGGAGCTGGACCTGGATGCGGACCAGTCCCATTTTGGTCCCGGCCCGGACCCAGTCAAAATCTAGGCGGAATGTGCGGCAGCTGGTCGACTATGGATGGCACGTGACAGGCCTATGGCCATAGGGTAAGTGGGTGTCCATCTCGTTCGCTTCGCTTGGCTTTGACCGGCTCCGTTGCCCCCACTCTCTCTCCTACTGACAGACCCGACTTCGACAACGACTACGACTCCGACTACGACTCCGCCTCCGCCCTGCATCGTTCTTCGGCTTCTGCACAATTTCATTATGGAATTTCATGCTCTTGCAGCAGGACTGCAGCACATTCAATTTGGAAGCTCAAGTGGAGTTCGTCCCCATGAAACATACATTTCACGGACTTTTGGAGTAGATAATGGGCTATGGCAGGCATCCGCCCACAAAGAGCGTCCCGGAATGAAGGCAAATTCTGGAATGCCGAGGATTGGCTGCGAGTTTTGCTAAAATAATATTATTCTGTTGGAGATTCGGCCTCAATCAAGCAAGAACTCATTAGCAAAAGAAAGCCAAAAGGAGAACAGAAGCCGGCAAAAAATTGGTTACAACTGCGAAGCTCAGCCGGCGAGTTTCATTTGCCACGCCCGAGCCCAAACGGCTAATTTGCGATGAAGCAATAAAAATTGTTTATTGAAACGTAAAAAGTGAGCGCGAGAAAAAATTGCAAATACGCCGCCATATATTTTCGCAGCTGGAGCTGCAGTAGTCCGAGTTTAATTAAAAATGCGAGCACAATCTGTCTGCCGCCTTTCACCAACTGCCAGAAGCTGCGCAGAGTGCACTTGAACTGTCAAGGCAGGGCAGAGGCAATAATTTTCATGTTAGATGCCAAAAGCGTGCAAAATGTTTTCCAACTATTAGACAATAGGCCCAAAACGACGATGGCAGGGGGAGCAGGTGGGCCTGGGAATTGTTGGCCCATCGCCGGCATGAACTTTGTGCAAAGGACAAAGGGCCGGGGCTCCCCGCTGCAAGGTGTCGTCTCGTGTGCGACAGGGACGAAATCAACAGTTTATAAATAATAATTTTCCCGCCTGCTCACAGCTCCTTCTGTCCTCACTAGGCGCACAGCCAGCACACGGCTGCAGGACTTGGATAGCAGTGGGGAGTGCGATGGGAAAAGGCGGGCGAGGCGGCGAAAGGGTCGGGCCCCAAGGACGCCCTTCCTCCTCCAAAAATAACAATAAGCAGGGCAACAACAGCAAAGTGCGCAAAGGAGGAAGTCGGGGAGTTGCTTGAGAAATGCCACCGGCAGTTGATGAAGTGCCGACAGCCAGCCGTTGCCAGGCAATGAAGTTGGCACGTCCTTTCACCACCCACCACCCACCGCCGGCCGACTCCCTGGCCACCCTTCGCCCAGAACCCCATGCACACCACCAGGCCGGCTGCCTCCTCCAGGATGGTCACACCTGTCTCTTTGGGATCTTTGCCGTTTGTCTGCCCACTTTTCATTGTTTTAATTGTTTGTCAGCTTTGCCCGCTTTACCCCTCGGCCCCTGGTGCTCGTTAAATTTACGACGCAAATTTCGCCTTTGCCATTGTTGTTTTTGTTTAGCTCCCTAGGCCTCGGCTCGTTTGAGTTCTTGTCGTCAATCTCAGGGGCAGTTAATTCAATTAGGCATATTTATTAGGAGTGGTCCCCTGAGCGTGGGTGTTTTCCTGCTCATATCTCGCTCCGTAATTAATGGTCCTTCATTTGGACGGGGGACATCAGTTGGTAATAGTCTTTGAATCTGAATCTCCGCCCTAAGCCTTAACCTCACCAATCCGCACGCCAGTTAAAGCCCTTCTAATGAAGACAGCCCTGCACACCGACTCGGGGCCCGTGAGAGCAGCGAGCTCTCATGTATCCGAAAAAATCGCGCATCGTGCATTGTTTGCAGCTGGAGCAGCGGCAAGGGGAGGACGACACTGCCGTGGACCAGTTATTGTCAACAGGATGCGGCAAATATGCCACTTTTATGGCACGCTTCCGCATCCGGTTCCCGCCAGCGGAGGCGGCTCCTTGCCAGTGGGATGTGGCCCCATGCGGCAAGCAGAGGGCGGATATAGTTGGTAAATTACGGTGGCAACCTGTGCAAGTGCGCTATGCAAAAACGCAGGAGTGCACACGGCCCACTTGGTCCGACCAGAAAAGGGGGAAAACGAACTGAGAGCGAGCAGGCAAGGCAAGGCAACCGAACGCCCTTGCAAGGCGCTTCACTGCCACTCCCGTTCCTGGAAGCTTCGGCTCTGAGTGGGCCCATTTCACAGCTGCATCGATAAGTTTCGGAATTTGGCTTGGAAATCTCAAGGAGCCACCTTG